GTTCTGCGCATGCGTGGAAGCGCAGAATTTGTAAAAACCGGGTAAGGAGCGGGCGCGGGTGTGCGGGCGCGCGCGGGCGCGGGGGGGCGTCGCCGTTCCCGGAAGTTACTTACTTCCGGGTTCGGCGACCAACCGGATCGCAGGGACCGGTGCAAACCGGTTGAAACCCACCCCTGCTTGGTGGGCATGTCAGGGGAAGGATACTTCAAAATCTCCATTCCCTCCTGATCAGCTGGGACTCGGGAGGCAGAGAATAGATAGGGGTGGGGCCAGCCAGAGGTGGTATTTACCGGTTCTCTGAACTACTCAAAATTTCTTCTACCCAATCTCCAGAATTGGTCAGAACCTGCTGAATACCACCTCTCATGTGGTGGGGGATTTCCCTCCCCCCCCCGCCTTTTCCTTGTGTGTGATCTGTATATTGTTTAATTTACCTCTCAATGTTCCTGACTATCTTATGTTTCATCTTTCTGTATGACGATTAAAAAGACTACAAGTTTGTATTAGTCTCTCTGGCTTCGTCTGGACAGAAGCTGCGCAATTCCCTGACCAAAGATACTTTGGTTTTGCATCTGAACACTTACCAATGGCGTGCAACTTTGGTTACCGCGATATTTTTCACAGCCTGGGGCAGAGTCATTTGTTGGGGTGATCCGAAAAAGGGGCTCTCCAGAAGTAGAAAGATATCTTGAAAAATGGAAAACAGTCAAGAAAATTTCCAAACCGAAATATTCCCTTCTGTCCTTCACAATGGGGAATAGAATAGAACATTGGCCAAGTGTGATTAGACACACAAGAAATGTGTCTCTGATGTATAATAGCAATAGTAAGAGTACTTAGTCTTACAAAGTGCTTCACAGTGTTTTACAGCCCTTATCAGATTAAAGAGTCAGCATATTAACCCCAACAGTCTGGGTCCTCATTTTACCAACCTCAGAAGGATGGACGGTTGTGTCAACCTTGAGCGTGGCGAGTTGGGCTCAGTTGGCGTCATAAGTTGAGGACTACCTGACTTGAGGTATCAAATGTCAACTTCACATTCTGAATTATGGTTTCAGAAAGTCTGCATTCAAATTTGGAGTGGCAAAATTGAGCATTTGTAGAGTTTCAGTTAAGTCCTTCTTTGCAATATTTTCCAGTGGCAATACATTTGTGTTCCCAACTGGAGGAAGTCAGGGTTGTGTGATTTATCCCACAATACCCTCTCTGGAGTTGCGATGCTGCAGAGCATTGCATGCCAAAACAACTAGACACAGAGAGTTTTTTTTCCCCATCACTCTGATGAATACTTAATTCTCACAGTACTATGTTATGTCTAAGGATATTTACCCATGTTGTATGGCTGTATTTTATCCCTCTCAACTCTTCCATTGCCTTCTCTTACTGGTATCGTTATTATGATTATTACGTTGATGTTATGATTAGCATCATCATTTTTATTATCATTATCATTAATTGGTTGTTTTGCACGTACACTGAGAGCTTATGCTTATAAGAGGCGTGGTGGTGCAGAGGTTAAAATGCAGTACTGCAGGATAACTCTGCCGACTGCCAGTGGTTTGATTCTGACCGGCTCAAAGTTGACACAGCCTTCCATCCAGGGGTGGGTTTCTCGCCCCGTTCCAACCGGTTCGGTTGGAACGGGGC